CAATGTTACTGAGAGGAGAGGAATGAAGGGTAAGGTGAAATGAGAAGCGGGGGAGAGAGGTGTGAGGGAGATATGAAGGATCATGTGTCAGGATATGTCAGGGTCTTTGGGATTGTAGAGACAGATTGAAGATCTGAGTCTCAGCAGAAAGAGAGATGGATAGGTACAGTAGGGAGTGTTGTTAGGTGGTACAGCAGAGCATCAAGGAAGACAGAGGAGGAGAGTTTTGTATCCTGTGGAGAGATGAAGTGACAGCAAGAAAAAGATGAAGAGCAGAGAAAGGCAGGTGTGGGCTACAGTATATGACGTGCATGCTATAAAACATAGCATCCGATTTTTGCTACTTTTGGCATAGCAGCATTGATCAATTTCAGGCAGAGTCTGGATGTGCAGAGACAGAGGCAGGCATTGGAAGAGAGGTGTTAGCGGTCACAAAGAGTGAATTTTAAGGATTCCCCACGCTCCCTTGACTTTCAGCTAATCCCCGATTCAGCTACACAGAGATGCAGGGCATGCACACTCACACAAGCACACACACACACACACACACACAGAAACACAAGGTCTTAAATGGGCAAAAAGTAGCTCAGTGCACAGAAGTCAGGAAGAAAGATCGAAGGAAGGAAACAAGCGAAAGGGATGACAGGGAGGAAGGAGGGAGGGTGTCAGGCAGGCAGAGGGGTAAAATTTATGAGGAGCAAGCGGAGGGGGGATGAGAGACATGATAGAACAAAGTAAGCAGGGAAGGACAAATAAGCTGTTTGAGGATACAAACAGAATGATCAATAGGGAAGTGCAGAGACAAAAGTCATAGTATATGGATGTGAGGAAGCAAGAGGACGGGGAACAGCTGAGACAGAATTTGTATTGTTGAAGATACAGAGACACCTAAACATAACGTATCAGTTCATTATAATTTATCATTTAATTCATGTTTGCATTCATTTCCACTCTCATGTCTGTACGCTAGTTATATGCACAGCCACAGCTAGTTACCAGTTAGCTTCTAGCGTGGTATAAAAAGCAGTTAACAGCTAGCATGGTTGTGGCCACAACTTTACGCAATGTTGCATGAACTAGCACCTTTAAAGCTCAAGATAACTCGTCATAATCTGTGTAGAAGTGTAGAAATGACAAGCTGTGGGTTTAACGGGGGCGTTAGTGCAGAACTATTTCTTGGCCCTGCTGCAATTACTTCCTGCAGCGTTCTGCAGGTTGCCTCACCGTGATGTTGGTTTTTTGTGTGGATTAAACAAGATGTACAGCAACATGTTAATTAATGAACTTAGGAGATACTGGTAGGTGGAATTTATGACCTTCAGACTGACTCTTTAGTCGGCTCACTTTATACTAGAAGCTAACTGTCTCCGGGCTGTAGTTTCATATTTACCATACAGACATGAGAGTGGTATCAGCCTTTGTTTTACAACACAATTAAATATGGGAAGTATAGTATCAGAGGCCCACTCAAATATTAATAATCAAATGTTTTGCTTCTATTCATCTTTTTCTTTTTTTTTTTGATCAAAGTTAAAAGAAATCATCAGTTCCATACACTTTGGCTCACTGACTATAGTATTAGTTTGTATATTTCCCGCCCTCCCTCTCTTTCTTTTCCTCATTCTCTCATTAGACTTCCTCTCTATATACAGCCCCCCCCCCCTCCATCACTCCCTGTCCTCTCCTGTATGTAATGAATGAGGGAGCTCCTCCCGGTGGACAGAAGTAGGTCTCGGGAGGAGCGGGGCAGGTAGGAGAGGGTGAACAGAGATGACAGAGAATCGGCTAGAGGAAATACGCAGAGATGGATGACTGAAGAAAAGCAAGGGAGGAAGAAGAGAGAAGGCGGGATGATGGGAACCTATCATTCCACTTCCCTTCTGTCTGGCTTCTTGATGATGAAGGCCATTACTCACGCACAGAGTACCCCACTCCCCTGCACGCTGCCTTCTCTTTCTATTTGCCGTCCTTTGTCTGTCTTTGTTCACCCTCTATCTTTCATCTTTCTTTGTCTTCTCTGTCATTCATTCACTTTATGAAATATACTGTACATACAAATAAATGTCAATGTCAACTCAATGTGAGTCTTGAAATATTCAATAATTGATCATTACAACTTACGATACGCAAAGATCTTTGTCTGTTTCCCAGATTTGTTATGAGTAATAAATTATCCCCCTCAGTGGATCTAAAGCACATTTTATTTCTACTGTAATGATGTGAATTCCCATGTAGATATTAAAGACAAGCTATTAAAGATAAGTTATTACAGATTGTTGGGTCATCTTTTTAGGACCATACTGTACTGTATTTATTAAATTTTCTTTCTTTCTCTCTCAAACAAAATAGGTCCCTGGATTATTATGAATCTTCCCACTGAATCTTTAACTGTACTTAAGTTGATAGTGTTGATTTATGCTTTAATGTTATGGGCTGTAGAGCCAGCAGGGAAATCTGCTCTTGCTCCTCTTTCCACTCATAAGTGCAACACACATCAGTTGCCTCATACAAAGGCAGCACACGTGTCAAGTGAAGCCCTTAGCATACACCAAACGCATCATGCAAATAAAAGAAGTAGTCACAGTAGAAGTGCCATTTAACATCCTTTTCACTGTCTTCCTTTTTTATGACACAAAATCATCTTCAACTCAGTGTCAAACACATCCACAGTCCCCGCGTCACATACTTCCTATTATGTTTTGCATTTACAATATTAACATATCTTGTGAAAGATTTTCCATTCAAAGCACTTTTATGAACAATGATGTCATATTTTAAAGGAATAGTGTGAGATTTTGGGAGATATGATGGGACGTTAGCAGCCAGTTAGCATAAGACTGGAAACATGGGAGGAACAACTCTGTCAAAAACAAGAAGTTGCTGTTTTATGGTTTGTTATGTGCAAAGCTATTTCTTAGTCTGGTGCAGTAACGCCTGGAGTCTCCACTGAGCTTCTCATCTAAATCTTGGCAAAAAAGAAAATAAGCACATAGTATTTCTCAAAATGTGGAACTATTCTTTTAACTTCCCAATCTGTTCAATTTACAGTTTACAGTCAGCTCAAAATAAACTCACCATCCCCTCAAAAATCAAATCCCTCTCATTTCCCGTGAAGACTCTCAGCCCTCGGGGTCAAAGGTTATGACCTTTGAATTTGGTACTGAGTGGGCAAACAGCAGGTCCTGTCTAGACAAAGATCTATTTGTCTTGTTTACCATACTTAATGATTGTCCTGGCATTCACAGCACCACTCGCTCCAATATTTACTCAACACGATGTGTCAACATGAGGATTGTAAAGATGATAGGGACGAAATCAGCAGGCTTGCAGCTTCACTGCCTTCAGATGTAATGGCCATCCAAAGATGAGGGAACATTCTACCCTCTCTTGTCCGCACTCAATCATCCATAAGAGCGAGAGCATTTCCACACCTCTTCCAACTCAATCTCAATTAATGATGGGGGCGAGCAGTAAATTTGGGTTATTAAAATGGCTTCAGCGCTCCATTGAGTCAGGGTAGAAGTATGTGTGTAATTAGGAAATGAGCAAACACACTGGGGCAGAGAAATGGAGTTGTTTTCAATTACGGCCTACAAAGCAGAACACAGCGAGTGGACCAGCCAGAACATGAAAGGGCTGATTTGTGCTTAAATTGACAGGAGGAGATCTCATTCCCCAGGCTTGCAAACATGTCAATAGTTATGAACCTGTGTCTATCACATACTGAGACGTGACAAGGTGTTCTAGGAGTTAGTTTTTGCATTATTAACGAGAAAGCAGCGGGGAGAACATTACATATGAAGCTACACGGGTGCGTGCATCTTGCATTTGTGTGTATGACATTTCGGCATACATAATCCCATTAAATGCAGTCAGTTATGGAGTGGAACGTTTGGCAGCAGTTCTGTGTTTTTCTGCTGAAAATCAGCCAAGTCCTTTGTTGTCAAGTTGGCTCAGTCAGAGCATGAATGAATGATTAGATATGAGAGTAAGTCACACAAGAGGGAGAGAGCTGAGGGGCACAAGGAGATGGTTTTGTTTTCTCCCCATATGAACTGGTCGTGACTTTAATGATGTCCATATTAATTCCCTGCACATGGCCATGGCACACAAAGAACGGGCTGTTATTTGGCAACTTTCAGGGGTCAGAGAAAAGTGTGTAGAGAAGGAGAAGAAGAAGAAGAAGAGAGAAAAACAGAATGAGAGGAATAAAGGTGTGATGTTGAAAGATAAAGACGACAGAATCACACTAATACTATGCAGACTGTATAATGAAGGCAGTGCTGTCAGGGAAAATTACCTCCAGGATAAGCCCATACCAGCCACAATACGACCCAACATCAGCGCCCGTGCTGGTAGAAATAATAGATGGAATGTAATTACTGCATCAAGATATGTTGTTGACAGAGGGGTGAAGCACAGAATTAAAATAATGTAATGTGTGAGAAAATATGGTGATGCAGTGGAAATTTGCATCATTCCCTCCAAATTAGGGTTGAGAGGTGAAAAACCGGGCGCTCCATTGAATCAGAAGAACAGCATCTGTTTGCCCTTTAGTGTCTACAAGCTTTTAAACCTTATGTTCACTCATACAGTGGCTTACATTTGGGCTTCATTTAAGCTCATTATGGGAATTTCAGTTGTCTCACACAAGAGAAAAGAGTAACCTTTTCCAATTATTACACGGTAAAGGTAACACGACAGCACATGTTTGGCTTGTATATCTGATAAATGTGAGCTATAACACAGGCTACACAATACTGTGCAGACCTCTAATAAGCTGCTTTCTATTACATGACTTTATTTGCACTCTGTACATTTTGTTGCAAACTGTGACATTAGAATGAATCATCCAAACAAGAGCAATTACAAAGTGATTATGTGAAAACAGTGAGTACATTTTAAAGTAAAATAAAGAACCTAGTATATATATATAGACGTAAGTTTGAACTGCTACAGTACACTGGTAAATATATAACTTGTGCTTGTTTTGTTTTTAGTTGCGTCCAGGTGAAGCCTTCACTGTGTATCACACCAGTCCTACGCTGTCCAGTCTGTCCAAACCTGTGGTGCTGTGGACTCAGCAGGACGTCTGCAAGTGGCTTAAGAAACACTGTCCTCACAACTACCTAACCTATGTAGAGGCCTTCTCTCATCACGCCATCACAGGTACAGTCAACAACACATGAAGCTGAATGCACACACACACACACGCACGCACGCACGCACGCACGCACGCACGCACACACACACACACACACACGGTCCTACTGAAACCATATACTGACATTGATTCTTTTGTTGTACTGGCTCATCATGTCTACATCTACAACTTAATAGTGTAAAACATATCAAACTGACCCAGTGGTCTTACAGAGGTGTTGCCTGATGTTTAAGGATAGGTTCAAGTCTAATATTGATATGGCCATAAAAACATCAGCCTTAAAGTTTTTCACCTTGAACACAACTGTACTGTAAGAAAAGGGCGATGGAAACAGGTTGCGTCTGCTTTTATGAAAGAAACAAGAAGCACTCCATAGATTTCCGCTGAGAGATTAAGAAAGTTGTGGCAAATAGTGGTCCAAAGTGGACAGATGTACACTGTTTTCAAAGCAGAGAGAGTTGCGTTTATGTTGAGCTCATTTCTCAGAGGATGATGAGCACAGGAGGAGGATTGTTTTGAGAAAAAGTCTGAGGAGCCTGGCTGTGCCACCACCATCTAAAGAGTTTAGACACATTCATGTTGGTAAGTAGGACAGTGACATATCCAGAGCAGCTCGCCTACAGTACAACACTGACATTATTTGCATCAGCTTTGTGGGAATAAATGTGTGTGCAAAGATATAGATTGATATCTTCCATTTGCCGTACAATGCAAATTGCTCCTCCACTTCAGCATAACTACTTTTGTACTGCATTTCTGATACACCACATGCGACCATTAAAAGGTATCCCTCCGCCACAGCTCAGATGGGAACTATACTATCCAGGGGAAACAAACAGGGGGAAGCTTGTGTTAAATTGACCGTAACTTTGAAACATATTGACTCGATTCAGCTCAGTGGGACTGCTGAAGTTTCACATGACCCCCGGCCAAACTTCGGAGTGCAAACTCAGCCAACTCAGCCAAACTTTGGTGCAAGGGCTGCGTATTTTGTCCCCCATTTCTCAAAGCGTAGTCGCATAGAGAGGATGAGTAGTTATAGTGACCAATAGTTATCAATATTAAGATACACTTGAAAAATTCTGAAACTATCCTTTAATATCCTAAGACCTGGTGCGTTGACCCCAGTGATGCTCCTTCGGGCTAAGACATTGCAAACCAATGCCATAAAAGGCTTACCAAATCTCACACAAGTATTATTTTTAGGTTTGTGGATCCACAGCTTAGCTTTTTCAACTGGAAACAGGTTTACACCCAAATCTCTCCAAAGGAGATTTAAAAGTCATTCATGTGAGGTGACGAAAGGAGTGCAGCCTATTTTTGGAGAAGAAAGCGAAAGCTGTGGAAAAAATGGTAGGTTATCGTATTTCGAGTTCAAACAACACTCTCTCTCTATCTCTCTCTCTCTCTCTCTCTCTCTCTCTCTCGCTCTCACACACACACGCACGCGCGCATTTATTTGTTAGTGAACCCATGCACGTGCAGATACACACAGACCACGGCACTGATGGACACACATGAGCAGGTGCACACAAATGCGTATACACATGAACGCAAACGCACATTTATTCGTACACATCCCCAGCCTTGACAGACCAGACGGCAGAGCGGCTTCTTTTTTAGTGTCTCGCAGAGAACAGATTGCTCCTCTGTGCCGTAGGGTTAGCCACCACTCACTTAACATTCGCAAGTACACACATACACACAAACACACAGGCACATACAGACACATATATATATATATATATATATATATGTACACGGTGGCTTCAGGGATAACGCTGCTGCCACCGTCACAGTTGCAGCAACTCTGATCTGATCATTTTTATTTATGTATTCTCAAACAGAGAGACAGAGAGAGAGGCTGAGATCCAATTATCCCTATGTATTCACTTGCTCTTGTCCAGCTGGATTTTATTTTTGCGTGGGTTATTAGCTCCAAGTGTTTTCTTGTGCAAATGTGGGATGAATATGTGTTTCTGCTGTTGATGCGAATGATCAGTATCAAAGAATCACATGATCTATATATCTATATATAAAAACTCTGCCTTTTTTCACACACATAAGGAAGTTCTCATCAGCAGTTGAGAGATGGATTCTGTTTCTGTATCTTAGTTCAGTGACCCAAAAGTAATAGTTTTTCTCTCAGTCTCTCAGTGAGGGCACCATTATAGTGAAACTGCCTGAGGTCAGTGTAGCTTCCTCAGTGTCTCTTGCTCTTACATTTAATTGGTGCGTTAAGATTCATGCTATCCTCTTTCATCATGCTTTTATTCATTTTGTCATGACTGTTTTTATTGTTCTGTCTGCTTTTATTCCAAATATGTTGTAGTAGACCAGGAGCTGGTCGAAAGCAGGAAATAGACTTGTCAGTGGATGTGTGAAATACGATTATAATTCACTATGACTGCACAGTAATGTAAGTGGAGCTTTCAATCACATGAACTGGGTCTCCTTTAATCACACCTGTGATTTGTTTGTCCTTATTGATAAGTGAGCTGGATGAAGCAAATTCAAAAACACGTCACTCTCTCACCCACTTGTAAGAAATGTTGTACTTCACTAAATTACTTTGACAACTGTAGTCACTGATTATAAGTTTTGTTAAACATATAACTGATTGTTATTCAATATGCTACCTAAACATATATCACAGGTGTAGTTTGTACATGAAAAGGGCTATTTAGCATAATAAGTGCTTTTACTAAACATTTTGAATGCAGCACCATTATTTTTAAAGGTGTATTTTCACAGTGTGGTATTACTGCTTCTACTGTTTACTGTTTAAACAGTGATCACTGTGGCCAAAAATGGCAATTACAGGATAATGCTAAATGCTAAAATGTAGTAAACCAGTAACACAAGTGAGTCAGCAAACTTACTCAATAAAGTTATACACCACTCGGCAATAATTACACTGCAACTAGCTTACATCAAAAGTTCGCTAACATTAGCCGCTATAAGGTACCAGTCATATCACAAGTGAGGCTGTAGCAGGAAAACCCCAGAGTGTACTGAATTGAACAAGGTTGTGTTTCATTGCTTATGAGTTGTTAAAGAATAAATGTCCATCTTCTTCTTTCAGCAGCTACATAGTGTCATTTTAAGTCAAATATCTAAATACTTCTTGCACAACTGTAGCAGACTTTATTAGTAGTAATTGCAACACAGTATAAGTTATGGTTCAGATTACACTCATTGTTGGCAGACTGTGAAAGTTGAAAGCCTGGCAGTGAAAGGGGTGCGGTGGTGCGAATGTGATTTAGTGACAGAGGCCCTGTTTATTAATACCCCCAGGTATTAATAACGTGACCTGTATCTAGATGAGTTCTCTGAATAATGGCACAATTGCAGTCACACCTGGTGTTTTTATTTATTTATTGCTATCTACATTCTGTCCACACCACGATGAGGAATTGCAAACATATAGTAGGTCAGCAGGTTGGAAGACTTCAGCTGTCAGACAGTCATTAATCTGTCATCTGCTGTCCTCAGCTCATGTGCAGATACTCTCTCAGGACTGCAAGCTGGACTGATTGCATTTACAGACTGAGATCTGATCATAAAGCAAGGTAGACCACTGCCAGATGTAGTCCAGCTGCTGCTGCATGAATTTACACCTCGCATTGATATTCTGTTTTCCTTATCAAGGTAATATATCCTGATGCCAGTCACAATTTTATACCAGGTTTATATGGCAAATAAGCCAGATAGGGTGAAGATACAGGGAGAACATACAGTACATAGAACATATACTGGAAGTGAAATAAACTGAGTCAAATAGTCAGAGGGCTACACACTCAACCTTTATGCTACTGTATATACAAACTGACAGAAATGTAATACAGTATGGAGGCCTTCAGGGAAAGCATGGGCTGAATTGGTCTACTACTAAAGGTTTAATCTAAAGCTTGTTCTTTTATAAGGAAAGCTTTACCTTCCTCTCTGTTGGATTGTTTTTCAGTATTTTAAGAGTCATTATTCCCTTAGCAAAGGCAGAGCTGCTTCCCATTTGCCCACAGACATTGTTAATAAGCAGTTTATTTTGAAGCCAAATTGAGAGAAGCGATCTCCATTGAAACAGCTTTTGTTTTTGTGTCTCTTTTCTCCCTTTGACAGCACTACTTTCCCTATCTGCAGGCAATTATTAGGAGCTGTATTAAGTCTGTCTGAGGGGAATTGATTTGAGCTCCATTCATCTGCTTTGTCTCATTTGTATACACACACACACACACACAAACACACACACACACACACACATACACACAGAGACCAAGGGCAGTGGTTTTTCTAGGACGCACCGGCATTGCTGTAGGGGAGATGGGGTGAATAGGTTGATGATGAGTGTGTCGACAAAGACAGAGAGTGTGTGTGTGTGTGTGTGTGTGTGTGTGTGTGTGTGTGTGTGTGTAAAAAAATTACTGTAACTGTGCACAAAATAAATGGAAAATTATTGTTCTTGTATCCCGTAGGTAGTTGTCCTCACACTCAATGGATTGCTCCAGTTTATGTACTAGAATCAGAGAGCACCTGGACCCCGAAGAGAAATAAATAATCTGTCCACAGTACCATATGTGCACACACACACACACACACACACACACACACACACACACACACACACACACACACACACACACACACACACAAATATCCATTAGAGCATTATAAAAGCTAACTGGTTTGTCATGGCTTTGTCTCCCAGGGAGTGGAGCCTTGCCCACAGTAGAGGTGACTATTGTGTGTATTGTTCCAGCCCATCTGGTTGTAAGGCAAAGACTGGCTGACAGTTCTGTCCTCATTTTTGCTTGTTTGGTTCCAGTGAAAGATATATATCACATCTCAAAGAGATGTCATGTAAAAAAAAAAAAAAAAATTATAATGATTGCTTCTTCCTTGAATAAGGTTCAGTAGCCTGTCTGCTGCCTACAAAGTATCAATCACTCAACTTTAAGGAAGCTTTGTTAAAAAAAAATGTCATTCCAGTAGATAGAAGAAACTGATCAAAGTACAAAATTTAACTCTTACTTCAGTACCTCTTCGAGAGATTTAATACAGAATTTTCTAAACGTTCAATACTTTAATCAAATGTATTTTACCTCCAGAGGGTACGTAAAGCTCTATGCACAGTGGAGTAGTTACATAAAAGAAGAAAATGAAGATTGAAGCAGACAGAGCTGCAGTTTGATTTGTGAGAGTGCATCGGTCAGCAGATGAGTCAACTGAGTCGCACATTTGAAAACACGGGAAGACTGTCAAGAAGTCCTGACACAGAAACTAATGATGGAGAAAAAAAACAAACAAAAAAAAAACAGTTCCAGTACACACTCATATGGCTTTACAAAACCCCAAGCGTTCTTCTTGGGGTATTGTAGTATTATAACTGTATCAATTTGTGTTACATTTTTCTTGACACATGCTTTCAGAAGCACTTAGCCCAGCCCCGGGTCCACTGAGGGTCACAACCAGACTCACTTCAGTCTATCACATGATTACACGCACACTGTCTGCTCTCCAGCCTGAAGCCTGTCTTATAAAATATGACTGCCGACTCCCTATTAAGGATATTTATATTTCATGGGCTGAGAAAAGAGACAGCGGACAAAGGACTGCAGTTCTCCTTTCATGTACCTTTCTCTGCTCTTCTTCTCTTTTGTTCTGTTCCCTTCTTTCATCTCTTTGCCTGCGCTCTTTGCACTTTTCTAACAGACATGCTTATTAGCTGCCGTGGATAAATATGCGATAAATGTATGCGTATGTGTTTGTGTGTGTTTGTGTGTGTGTAGGTGAGAGGGGGGGGGAGCGAGAGAGAGGGAGAAAGAACCTGTTTACTATGTGTATGAAGCACATACTGTACGTAACTCGGGGTGCTTTTCCTCTGCAGTACAAACATAATGCACAGACAGAGAAATAAAGAGAAAGACCGAGATACAGAGGACGTACTGATGAGCAAGGGAAGGAAATGGGAATGAATGGAATGATACAGAGAGTGAGCTGTATGAGTAATGAGTCTAATTATGATTTGGGCACCTTACGGAGCTGCTGTAGGTATGATGGATTCCTCTTCTGTCTGTATCGGTGAAGGACATAGCTCCCATACCCATAGTAACCTGAGTGTGTGTGTGTGTGTGTGCATCTGTACCACATATGCATGTCTTAAAGTTTTTTTCATATTTCCTTTGTGTTTGTGTGAGTGCAGCTTAGTTGTAAAAGCTGTTTACTGTGGCTAATGGTATGTTAAATGTGTGTGTCCCCAGGGTTAACTGCCAAACTCTGTAGTAAAATTCAGCCACAGAACAGAGCCAGCCTCAGTAATCCTCCCCATGCCAGCCTCTTTACTGCAAGGCTGCAGTGCTCACCAGAAAATACACACCTTACCCCTGGATGTAAATGAGACAGTGTTATTTGGCAACACTTCACTTAAGTCACTTTGAGCCCCCCAGTTTTGCATTTATAGACACTTTGTGAACATTTAGTTAATGCTTTCTAACACACTATAATGCAGTTGGAAGGAGATATATGTATTTAGTAATGTAATATAATGTGCAGTTGTAATTATATAAAATATGCCCGTATAGAAGCAGTTACTGTTGATGAATACTGTGCATGAATAAACACTTCAAAATCTTTATATCTTCTTACAGCTACATTATGTTATGAATCATCTATTAGATGTTAGAGTGGTTATAAATGGGGGGTTAAATATGGGGACTTTTCACTCATTTTCACAGACTAAATCAAATTACTAATTAATTCCGCTTTTATGGAAACATTAATACTGTGCAAAGAGGGCTATTTCTCTGAATTAGTGGAGAAACTTAACCCATTCATGCCTACTCCTCCTGGCAGGACGGGCATTGCTGCGTTTGAATGGGGAGAAGCTAGAGAGGATGGGAATCGTCCAGGAGACGCTGAGGCAGGAGGTCCTCCAACAAGTCCTCCAGCTGCAGGTCAGAGAAGAGGTCCGCAATCTGCAGCTCCTTAGCAGAAGTAAGTAACATGACAGTGTGTGTGTGTGCGCACGCATGCGAGTAACCATGTTTCTGTGCGTTTCTTTGAGTAATCGTTTTTTTCTGTGTGTTCATGGGAGAGAGGGAAAGACAAAGAAACTGACAAGCAGGGGGAGAGCAGTTGGGTTTTGGCTAAATTGGAAGGAGGCAGACTGAGGCCATGCATGCCTGCTGTGACATACGTGGAGTTGGGCATCCAAGTGCAATTGTTTGTGGCTGTGTGTGGGTTTTATTGATGGGAGCTCTTGATTTGCTGCCCTGCCTCTGAACGATGGCTTCGGTAAACACTTTTATTATCCAGCCATCAATAAACTGGCTCAGTAAATCTCTGCTGACCTGGATTCAGCAGCTCAGGCGGCTGGCTTCTTGCAAGCTTGTGTTGGCTGTTTTGGCCATTGTTGTGGGTAGTTGTTTTGTGGGTTCATTGACAGCTTCCAATCATCAAAGTACAATGTCGACACAATTTTGTTTCTCTATATAGAACTGGATTTCAAATGCTCCCTGAAGACTTTATAAAATCCCTCTAGTTTTGCAACAAAATGTTCCCTGTAGCTACCTGGATAAATACTACATGGGTATCAATTGTAGGGAAAGTTATCCACAATTCAAGCAAACACACACACACACACACACACACACACACACACACACACACACACACACACACACACACAACTCTTCAGTGGTATTAATAAAGGCACATTTATTGTTTTGATAGATGGTGTGGTGAGCCAAACACACTGAGAACCCTCTGGTTATTTCACTCAGGTTTTCCTTTGGGCACCATAATCTTCAAGAACATGATATATATTCAGCAGCAGCATCCTGGCTGAGCTCATCCCCTGAATAAAAGGAGATCGGCAGCATTTAAAGGGGATTGCAGCATGCTTGTTGCTGTAGTTGGTTCCATTGTTCTCCAGAGTAATTCAGGACTGAAACTAGAGGCAAATTAAGTGTGTGGATGTTTTACTGTGCTCCTCTTATTCACAGAGAATCCTCAAGAGCAGATCCTTTACTTCAAAATTTGAAGAAATAACTAGCAATAAAAGCATTTGCTCTAAATAGTCCAATCTTCCTTGACATAAGTGCTTTGGACCAAAATAGAATAACGTGTTAGTTCGGTCAAAGCTGTGAAGTTGTTTTTGCCATCAACTGATCATTATGAAGTGATGGTGCTAGGGCTCTTACAACCACCAGTTACATTCAAACAAGTGAATGAACAAAATGACAAGCTCACACTCTCACCTTCTGATCACTCATGCCGAGAGTGGTATTCTTTTCCTGCAGTCTGCTTTTCAGTACGTTTTTGACCAATATTATATAAATAATTCTGGTTTGATCTCCATTTTAATATTTCCATGACCCACCTTTGGGATCGCAAAGTGCTTTTTAGACACAATATCAACTACTGCATGTATGGATGGAGTCACAGATTTTGTGAGAGCTCAACAAAATGAAATGGGTGTGTGAGAGAGAAGGAGACAGAAAGAGGTCAATCTGTACAGACTGAATACATAAATAAAAATGGTACCAATTCAGCTGGAGTCATAGAATAGCATAAAAGCACATAAAATAGGCCTAAGTTAAGCAAAGCATTTTCTATAAGAACCTTGAACCATGTGATTATCCAACTGCAGTAAAAAGACCAATAAGAATACAAGGCTGAATTGGGCTGTGATCCAATTATAATAAACATTAAAAAAAGAAATCATTTAATTCTCATTCAGTCCCATTTTAGATGCAATGAGGTAACAGGAACCACAGGGCTCTTTCTTTGAGGTGTAAACTGAAAATCTTTTGAAAATCATTTCGATTGACTTTTTTTTTTTTTTGATGGATTTTTTTTGCCTTAGTGAATTAGTGTCATAAGAGAGTGACAGGAAAAAAAATGAAGTGGGAGAAATGGGGGTGACATGTGACCAAACAAGTGATGTCACTGTTACTTGGCATGTGCCTTAAACAGGCCCGGCTCTAGGCATGGGCGGGGGGGGGGGGGGGGGGGGGGGGGGGGGGGGGTAATGCATCAAATGCTCCAACTGCCCCACCAAATCGTCCCACTTCATCCCCAAAATTTAAAAAATAACTGAAAAGTAGGGATATTCAGCATTTTCCGATTATTGGTATCGTTTTTATTTATTTTTTTAAACTGACAACCGATTTAAAAATGCACTACTTTGGCTTTGATGCAGCCGCCTGTCTCTGGTCTGTGGTCAGCACTCTGAGGTCTGGAGCAATGTCCCGCCCACAGCACATCTGATTGGTTACACATCATGAGTAATAGCCTATTATGCTGAAGGCTGCTGTGTACACAGACAGTCACAGATTAGAAAAAGGGAGCTGAGCAATGTGTCGAAGGTAAGACAGCAACCATCACTGAAGATGTAATAAACACCACAATCCTCCACACTTAAGTTACAACAACACCACACTCTGATGAACAAGTTCATCTGTTGATGCAAGACACACCGAGCGAGAGAGAGAGAGAGAGAAGCTAGCGCTGACTGCTAAGATAAAGTAACTAGCTGATCTGAACAGCATGTGAACAACTGCTGAGTTAATGAAAGTCGCTAAAAAGGAGCAGAGAGCTCTGCGTTAACTGTTTTCAGACAGAGCAGCAATAAACTCTACCAGTAACAGAAACTCCAGAGACTGGAGATGAGACACTATCCTGACGTCAGCACGTCAACTGTCACTAACTACTGTAACTGAAAAGACATTTTACTACAGTAGAAGTAAAATCACTGTGCAAAAATGTTATCAGATAAAAGTACAAAGTAAGTCAGTTAAAATGTATCTGAGTAAATGTGTTATATTTTTAAAATAGGGAGGGGAGGGGTAAAACATGTTATGGTGATAATAATAATATATGATAAAACTATTAAATTAAATAGCATCTTTAAGCTGCCAGGTGCATCAGTATGAGGACAGCACTGAAATCAACCAATAAATTCAAAATTAAATACATTGTGGGCTTATGTATTATTAGATTCTATGAATTTAGTTTTAGGTAACATAAACCAGTGCATGTTATAGCTTACAGCTCTAAATAATGCTCAGAGTAGCCCAGTAACGAGTCTCGAAGTCTGACAGTTAGTAACCAGTCAACATCTCTTTATGGCTCCCCAATCAAAGCAGTCTAGAACCGGGCCTGGCTTTAAACCAGCAAGATCACCAGAACACTCAAACTCTTTATTTTGTATGCTAATTTATTGTTTCCTCTCTTATCATTTTTGCTCATTCCTCTTAGACACATGGTGGGAAAAGTGTTTTTGGTGAAATTCAAGCCAGTCAAGCATTTTTGAATTGAATGAAACTGATTTAAATTGAGAGAAGGAAAGCAATTGACTGGTAAAGAGAAAGAATGAAATTGCTGTTGGACACTTCTATTGATAGAGCAATGCAAATGTAATTTGCCAGTTCAGCAGGCTATGACTCTAAGCTATAAGGACAAGCTAATTTAGTGGCCTCATAATAAAACACCTGAGGTTCACAGGGGTGGAGGGTTACTCAGATGTGACAAAGGTAGGACATCCTGGCGTCTGAAGGAGTGATAATGGGGTGTTTCAGTGCTGAAAATGAATTGAGCAGTGTGATGAGGTGGTGATAAGGTGGAAGATGAGGGCAGAGCTGATGAAGGTTTACGTGTGGACGGGAACATTTAAAAAAAAAAAAAAAAAAATTTACCATATAATGACAATCTTGTCACAACCATGTCTCGTAGAAATTCAGTTTATATACAGCTGAACTGCAACAGCAAATACATTTTGTAGGAATTGTAACTGATTTATGGTAATGTTTTGGCACTCCCTGCACTTGGCTAAGGTTAGGGAAGACCAGTGTCCACAGTGACTTGAGATTCAATGTGTTAATTTGTGCTCTTTGTTCAGCCGTCACCAGCCCCAATCACCTCCTGGTGACTCCGCTGAGTTCATAAATGTAGCGTTTCATTCATTCATTCATTAAGAAACAATGCCTCTGAATATAATCCAGCCAGCAATTATGTTTCCTACAAGACGTATTCGCTGTTGCAGTTTAGTTTCATACAAATGTCATTTCCAGGAGACGGCATTGCCTGTCATTATCTACAAAATGACAACTGACACTTCAGTAAAGATAAGCTAAGCCACGTCTCTGCATCTCTGCCGTCTTTCAAACTACTGAACTGAATAAGGTCTATTGAAAAAAAAAAAAAAAAAAAAAACTGCAAAGGCAATCAGCATCAAATTTCTCTGAATGAGTCATGCAGTATGTACATAATTTCAGTCGTGTTGGCTTGTGGCTCTAGAGATGGCAATGTCAATCAGTCTGTCGGTCCACCACTTTCATCCAGACTGAAATATGTCAGCAAGAATTTGATGTATTGCCATGAAATGTTGTACATACATTCAAAGTCCCAAGAGCCGACTGACTCTGGTGTTCCCCTGACATTTTAGCTTTTCAGTGAACTATCTCAACAACTATTAAATGGATTGCCATGAAATTTTGTACAAATATCCACGGTGCAGTCAGGATGAATGCTACTTTTATGATCTGCTTACATTTCCTGTAGCACCAATCTTCGCAGTCTAAGTGAAATAGCTCAACAGCTATTGGAGAGATTGTCATCTGATAGCTGTTATTTGTGTTTAGGGCTAGTTAGAAAATGTCAATATGCTGACAAACTAATCTAAGATGGCAAACACAGTAAACATTAGACATGCAAAACATCAGCATGATAATGCTGTCATTGACATTTCACTCAAAGCACTGCTTTGCTCCTCAAAGAGCTTCAAGCATGAATACAGACGCTTACACTCTGTGGGCCTTGGTAGATCTAGCCCACCTGTAGCTATTTTAATCAGGTAAGGGCCCTGAGTTCTTTAATCCAGTTAAACAAATTTACAATATAGAATACTTGAGGTAAGATTTTTTTTTTTTCTTCTGCATATACACTTTAAAGTGTCCCAAGTCCCTTTAATCACCTATAATGAGCTGTAAAAC